CGTACAAATACGCGGAGTGAATATATGCACCATTGCAATGCCTCAACACTTGCTAAAGCGGAACCGCGGTATAACTTGATATATTACAAACAGGAATCCTTGTGGAAGGTCGTAATTAAATATGGTAGAAAATTATATGTCGTACGCCCATCTCGGTAACAAGACATAAATATGAATTAAAAATAGATTATTGGTTAGAGCAACCGCATGGAACGCTATGAATGTCGGTTCAAGTCCTGCCCAAGTCGTAAATGTTTTCAATGTAAGTATTATCGATTTTAATTTATATAGTGCTATCATGTGAAAAATATTAATTTTCAAAACAAAATATAATATAGTGTAACACTTCAGTCTTCAGTTAACGCGACAGGTTGGCTCAGACGGGTAACCATAAAATTTTACTTATATCTCCAACAGAGCTTCCCTACAAATCCGTATCCCAGGTTTGAATCAAGAGAAAATTAACAGTTTTGATGAGGGGAAAACGGAATTATTTATTTACTTATTAATTTAACCAAACACAATAGACAGACTGTCTGTCCCCTGTCCCCACTAGAGGACACACGTTAGACAGTCCAGTCCAAAAACACGTTCGTATACATACATACATGTCATTATATAACAGAATGTTTAGTATGTAATTAATTACCTATATTATACTACGTAGGGATCGACAGACAAAACCTTTACGTAAGGTTTAAGGTACATATATCGTTTCTAATGACGCGTGCTTAATGAATTGGCCAATGAGTGTTCATTAGTAATCATTTAACATTCATAATTAGAACGAACGCGAAACGAAACATTTTGTAATGATATGAGATAGAGGATCAGATTGTATTGTTTTTTTATTGATTAATATAGATTCTTGAGTGTTTTCGGCTAAGTAACGTCTGTAGTACTAGTAGCTAGTAATGTACGCAACTATCACTTGCTGCAAAGCATCTGAAACGTCGCGAATAAAAAAGATAATATCAGTTGCATTTTAAGCTGTATGTGTATTTATATAATACTGAACGGTTTAATTCTAAACTATGACCCGACGGTACTTACAAGGTGTGCTGTTACAGTAAGTGATCGCTACAAAACATCTTAAATGTCGCGAATAAATAAGACTTGCGTTTTAACCTGTAGTAGGTACGTTTTTATACAAAACACATCAGGGTTTTGTTCCTCACTACGACCCGACGGTGCTTTGGAGCAGATGTGATTATTTGCTGCAAAGCACCTGAAACGTCGCGAATATATAAATTAATATCATTGGCGTTTTAAGCCGTTACAAGTAGCGTTTAGATGAGGTGTTATAACCAAAATAATTACATTTTTAAATTTAATCCTACGAAATTTAAAAGATAAATGTTCATATTTAAGTAAGCTAACTAGTTTGAATACTTTCACAAGAGAACAATTGCGCCTATACAATTCCTAAATACTCACAGATGATACACAAACATTCAAAACAAAACACAGCACAAGACACAATAACCACAGATGATCGTATATACGATATCGTAAAGACGTCGGTGCGATCACTTCGTCTAGCAAGACTGATTGATGAACACTAACCGACCGTCGGACGTGGTCGGTGGCGCACAACACAACCGGTAACTCGCTTAAGGCTAGCACTACACACATAGCTCTACATTTTCATAGCTAATTCGCTGTTATACGGGACGGCCGCATGTGATCGTGTTTTTTGTATACTTTATTTGTTTGCCTCCATGTTACCTAACACGTTTATCAAATATATTTTTCTTATACTATAAGAATTGGTCTATAGACATAAGGCGGTCCTATATAGTTAAAAACTGTAATATTTTTCACGTGTTACGCATTATAGTATTATACAAAAACATTTTTATATTGGCGTTGGAACGCTGTGGTAGCCGATTCAAGTCCTGTCCGTTGCGTAATTTTTTTTCAATCTTACATCGGTTTTTTATAAATATAGTTGAATTTAAGTTGGAAATTGTTTTCTTTAGTAAAAAAAATTCTTACTGAAACCTACTACTGCCGCATAAAACACAATGGTGCCGTAAGGCGTTACGTGACGGCTTATTTTCATATAACACATTAAAATAAAACACTTCACGGTTTTAATGCGAAGTATATTGTGCCCCCGCGTCAAGACCACATTTGCAGTAACCAACCGAAAAGTTATCACTTCAATACATTTGCCGCCTTTATAACTTTCAAGAAAATTCCAAATTTATATTCTCTGATGTCGGGCACAGTACACTTATTCTGTGAGACCTTATGTGGTGTTACACAACGATTACAGTTTTGTTCAAGTTATTAATGTTTAATCTTCAATGAATATGCGTAAATTATTATAAATGATAGCAGTAATAAAATACTAGTATTTGAAAATATATCGTCTGCATCACGGTGGTAGGTTTGAATCCTGGGGACATGTGCCACCCTTTACAAAATCTACCACCACGTATACTTATATCTGGTTTTAGTTCTGTTAGTTAAATATGCTTTACAGTAAATAGTAACTATTTTTACTCCCTGGGGAGAATTGAAAACCGGCGCATCACCTCTACTCTTGGTAGTGTATGACGGCGTTGAAGACGTATAGCTATTTTACGCGGACATACATTTTGAGAAAGAAAGAAAGAAATTTTTTCACTACTAAGGCACACAAAAACATATGTTACGCTTATTACTAAAACACAAAAAAAGAAAACATATATTTAATCTTAACAGTATAACTTGATATTAACAGGATAAGATAATGTTGTGTGCTGCTAGTAGAATAGGATCTTACTCAGTTTATATCAGGCCCTTTGATGACCTGAGACTGATTTTCAGTAAGTCCTTAGAGTGTGGACAGCGTTGCTACACCCAAGTGAAAATAAACAAAAAAAGTGGCTGTTGTATAAATAAAAACACAGTAAACTTTACAAAAAAAGCAAGACATGTCGAGCTGCATAAAGAGAAAAAAGAATTTTTGCGTTAAAATTTGTTTTTTTTTCAAACCATTTCCTTATCTCTATAAATTCTAGCTCTCACCAACGACTTCTTTCGTTCTTACAAATGATTCTTAAAAGATAGACATATATATAACGTCGCGGACATTTTTTTAATGATCTAAATAAACCTGTATCATACTTTCGTACAGATTTTTTGGGTACCTTTTTTATCTATTTCGCAGCGCACGCAAAATCTATGTTCCGTTTTATATTTCCCACCGTTTATTCGCCCCTATTAGTCGCAGCATGATATTTTATATTCTAAAGGCTTCTTCGATAGATATGTGCATGTTTGGAATAAAATGAGTTTGTGGTCGGAGTTCGGAAGTGGGAGGTGTTTGAGAGCACGTTAAGCCGTCGGTCCCGTATATCATAGCTCATAGGTTTTAAGCTTTTATAGAAGATTATGTACCGGCCCAGCACTGGGACATGAACTGATTCGATGCGATAACATCGAACATACTATCAGATTACATCTTTATCAAATGCGGTTTTTATAGTTAACCAAAAATATAGTGATAATAAAAGAGTAATGTTTTTTTTACAGTCCGGGAAAATCTTATGGCTCCAAAGTTATAAAATATCCGTTGTAGATCCCAGAGATATGTTATCTGATCCAAATAAGCCGAGTAATTATTTAGGGAACGAATATAAAAATCTTGTACCGATAGCTCAACAGGCATTTTAATAGCTGTTCGAATAAACTTCAATTCTTGAATTGCATTATAAATTTGTCACGAGAATTTATGTGACTTCAAAATTTATTTAAGATAAAAAATAATGCCATGGAAGCGCAATCCGTAGTTACAGAGGGGTACGTGGGTTCGAATCCCGCACGTGTCATTAATTGCTTTTTAATCACTGGAAACTATACATTACGATAGAATGTGCCTTACAATATGAGGCCGATAGAGGCAAAGTAGCCACTGCAAGTTTATGACTTGAGTTATTTATATTTTTATAGTCTAAAAATGTTAATCTACAAGAGCAGAGTGACCGAAAATTGTTAACATAATCCTTACGCAAATAATAGTACAAATACATTTTGCCTAAGTTAACTGCGCATTTTTATTTTCCTCCTTATTGGAAATCATGTATTTTGGTTTAGGCTGCTAGAGACAGAGTGGCCTACACTGATATAGCAAGTTATACAATGTAAGAGAAATACATAACAACGAGTGGGGCAGACACAATAACGTATCCGTTTCATTGAACGATTTATTAAAATAAAGTACTTGATCAGACTTCTAACTGTAAATATAACTTTTTCTCAGCATTCAAACTCATGACGTCTCGCGTTCAATATTATGTACTGTTGGTCTAACCATTATGCCACGGAGGCGGTCATTACACTTAAATGAATGTTCCTTTATTAAGGTAAAGATTCCGTTCAAGATAATTCTCAACTTCCAGGACGAGATCAAGAGCCGGTCTGTCTTTTACTTGATGAATTAATGTTTATGATACAACAATTTAAACTAATTAGGCTCTCCGTGGCCACGAAGTAAAAATGTGTTGTTAGAGAGAGTCGTGGATTCTAATATCGGAAAAAATATATTTTTACTAAGCCTAAATCCGCATAGACGTAGAAAAGAAAAAAAACAAATTTATGACATAGAAAGACGACATTGTTAATTGCTATCACGGTCTGGGTTCGACATCCTCTGAATCCAACGTTTTCCTAATCATTTATATTTTTCTGAAACAGTTCGACATCAATCGGAATATCAAATGGTGTAGGAATTTGTATCCATCGGTCACAGACCACCGTCCAAGTTGAAAAGCCGTCAAGTTGAGCGGTGTGTAGTTAAACTAAAATATCATTTTAAACGTCAAGTGTTTTATTCAAATTTAACTAAAGCACAGACAGTAATATAAGACAGACAGAATTTAAAGCCGTCGAGTTTAATCGCGTGTTTAATTAGCATCCAAAGCCAAATACGAAGATTGATGAAGGGTAGGGTACTTCCATCAGAAAAATCTTCCTTATTTGTCCTTCTATCATAAAACAATCATACAGACCTTAGCGGGAATAAAGTTGTGTTGATGACGTCCGCTTGGCCTAGCAACAGCGACACCAATAAGGGCGTCGCAGAGCCCCTGCAGCCCGCTTGCTGCTTCTCGCCACTCGCCCGAGATGCTCGCGTGCTCGCTTAAGGCACTACGAACAACAGAGCAGCTCGTCTCCTTTGACCGACCAGATGTGGCATCTGTATAAAATATTATTTATTATTTAAAACATTAAGAATTTAAAAAATTTTTAAATTCGCCCCAAACTTTCGGAAGCTTTCCAACAACCCTGGGCCCGGGGAGACTAAAGGTTTTATTTAAATGTAAACTACTCGCGTAAACTATAGACAGATTTAAGATGTACATAACAAACATGGATTCGGCCGGGATCGAATCCGAGACTAGAGAGTTACATAGAACTTCCGCTTTCCTTCGGTACTAAAAAAATACACTTACCTATGTAGTGTGGTATTTTGAACATTGTTTCAGAGATATAATAAGAATTATTCCACAGGTCGTGGGTTCAATTTGCATCGGGATCGAGTTTGTAAATCATTTTTATAAATTCTGATAAATGCTGTTCGTCCATATAAGATACAAAAGACCATCCTATAAGATGCTACCATTTTGACAGTACGTAAAGATGAAGGTACAAACTCATTTATAAATTTAAAATTTAAATCGACTATAATATTATGTATTATGATGGTAATTTGCTTTGAAACGAGAGCAGGATATAATGCATTAGCAATTCTATATATAATATTTCAAACGACTTTTGAGTTGAGTCCCCCCGTAGCGGTTGCTAGAAAGCATCCGAAACTTCGGCGTCGTGCCTTAACAAATATATAGCGTGTTTTAAAGTGTTTTCTTTAAATGTGAACTATTCACTTAAACTGGGGACTATGTTATCTATATTTAATGATTTTTTTTAACAATTTAAACCTGCTACGTTTTGTGTCAAGTGAAAAGCAGACGCGTAAGTCTCAGTAGTAAAAAATGTACTAGGTACATAATTTATATATCATTTTTCATTTAAGATATTCTCTTACACTCTTACGAGGCTGTTATTTTAATATAGGGTAGGTCTAGTTGTGCATTTTAATAAGACAGTAACACACACAACCTTGAATCGTTATTATATTCTAAATCATGCAATGCGAGGACCTCCTTACAACATCTACTATTAAAAAACAACATTATTATGTTTGTTTATCTACACGTTTTATAAAAAAATATTTATTTAGTTTATAAGTTTTTTTTTATATTTCATATAATAATGATAAATCTAGATCAAGGTTTTGTTTTCTTCAAATCGGATGCAATTGACACCAAACAATTGTTTTTAAAACGGTAAAATCAAATTAAAAATAACTACTTATTATCGACTAGCCGTGTAAACAAATATTTTTTTGTTATTAAAAGAAATGTTAATTAAAGTAATGTTTTTTATTAAAAAATGTTTACTAAAAAAAACCAACACACTGGCAAAAGTAAGAGTTGAGGACATATGGATTTTGGTAGCAATGTATGTAATGGCTAATAATCAACGAATTGTGTGTACGATTCCCACCGGGTCTAACATTTCTCTATTAAATATTGTCTATAGTTTACGCGAGTAGTACACATTTAAATAAACACGCGATATATTAGTTAAACTTATTTTTAACTTTTTAATTTTTAAAAGCATCCGAAATGTCGGGTCGAAGTAAAAATAACCATTACAGTATTTTATTTAAATTTCTCTATTATTCTATACTTTTTCTGAAACATGTTGGACTTCCTCTAGAAGCGTACGTCCGGTTTACGAACCACCGTCCACAGATGAAAAAGCCCTGAAGTGTAATCTCTCTCTAAAATAAATGACAGCGTATTGTTTGAGATGTTATGTGGCTGGGATATTTCACCTACCATGAAGTGAATCTCATGTTTGTCTGTCTTCCTAGAGGAAGAGAGAGGAATAATAGATTATTAATTATAGAAGGTATTTGAGTATAAAGACCTGTTGCAACTTTGTAAAGTTCAGTCTTAGTGAATTTTAAGTCTACAGAGGTATCTAATCTGGAATTATCTCAGACACAAGTACAAATTAGCCATTTAAATAACAACATTTATGTTAATTTATTTTATTGAGAACCATGTCTCAATCGTTAAAGGTATACAGAAATATTGATTATCCTTATTTCTTTTACGATCAGAAATTTGAAAACCAAATTAGAGTCAAGTAATAAAGACTAGATAAACTGCGATCTCAAAATATTTTATGCATAAAGAGCAACTATTCAAATTTCGAAAATATTTAAAAAATTAACGATGTTTTATGGAAATTTAATGAGACATTTTAACGAGTGTCTGTATAGTGCTTTAGGTTTTTCTTAGAGAAAAGTATCATAACGTGAAAAGTATTTGTTCTAAGATTACGGGCTTAAATATTACGTAAGCCCTATAGTAGCGTTAGATGTTTTTTGCTTTGCTTACGATTTGTGGTGGGAGAGGGGATACATAGTAATTACCTACATCGGCAGTGTTAACCTATTGTTCTAACGTTTCTTTTGTTATTAGTTGACGTTTAGCAAACGTTGTCTTGCTATAAGAAATATTTAAAGAGTAAGAAGATTTATGTTACAGCAACTCGCCCCAGCTTGGGTGGACATTTCACCAGATATCATATGTATTTATTTGTTTACAACATCAATGAGGCTAAATTGTATGTAACATGTTCTCATAAATAAATGGTTTTGAGGTTGAGTACTTAATGCGTTAAAGTGTTTATAAACTATATTTCTTCTTTTAAAAAACGAGTTACATTGAAACAATTATATAAAACAGCCGGGATTCTATACAATGTACATGCTCTTTCCTTTTGCTATCGAGCGATCATGGAATTTTCTCAATTTATGAATTTATTATTGTTGATCTAACATTAATAATTACACCAATTGTCACTAACCACACTCTCATTAGATAAAAAACTAGATCAATGGTCTGTCGAATAAATTATTATTATCCAACAATACACTGATCTTTAGGATACAACAACTGAAATTGACTCACCCGAGACAGCAAATTGTACAGTGAGTACAGACTCCATGATCTTGATGAGCAGCCTCGTCTCCGCAGGTTCATACTGCTGGTTGCAAAGCGTATACAGCAGCAATTTAAGCAGGATATAGCTCTCTGCGAATACCGGTTCACTAGCTGTAAACTCACGGAACATCGGGCTGTGCAAGCACAAACCGGCGCACGAGTTCCAGAAAGTCCACACGTTCTTTAATATTTCCGTAAAATCTACTTCTTCAGCCTTAACATCTGTGAACATTGATTTTATTGCGATTGGTGCGGATGTCTTTCTAGTATCCCGACAAGTTAACATCAATGCTTCCTTCTCCTTACTAATGTCGCACAATTCTTCAAACTTTTCCAAAGGAGTCCGCGTTTTGAACACGTCATAGCACTTATCTGTAACTTCCGACAACGACTTGAACAGCATTTGAACTGATGCTAGGGTGTTCATTTCGCGAAAATATGTCAACTCTGCATTCTCTTTCATCAGTTTATATATCTCTACTATTATCGCTATTTCTAGAATAGCGCAACACTGACTTGAGAACTCTGGAAGAGATATCAATTCTAGCACGTAACTTAAGCCTCCTTTTTGGATAAATTGCTCCGCGAACGAAACCGTATTTAAGAGGCTAGCAAAAATGTTCAGAGACGATACTGTTATAAAATAAGCGGACTCTTCCAGGCGTATGGTGTATCTGTGTTTGGAAACAATGAAGTTCGGATAGATCACACTGAACAACAGCTCGTACTTCATTTCCATTCGGCATTTTGGCGTGACTTTTAAGAGATGGCTGACGGTCGCGTGCAAAACGCTATTATGGTTGTCCAATTGTAACAGGGAGTTATAATGGATGAGGAAGGACCAGACACTTTTTCTCTCCATGGGACTGACGCCGTGTGCGCAGTACTTTCGACCCAGGTCCCTGTTATCGTCACTCTGTTCACATATAGAGCACGGCAATTGATCCGTGACTTTTGGAACTAGGACGCTCGCACCTAAATCTCCATACACCGTATGCTCGAGTAATCGAAGGCACAACGCTGCGACACTATTATGCGTCAACATTAGCCTCACGATGTTTTCCATGAGGAAACTCGGCGAAAAACAACAACATACCCCGCACTTAAGCATGACGTGTAAAATTTTATTTCTAAGAACTTTATAAGCGGATATTTCCTCGTCGGGGAGGAGGGAAGTTAGGGTTGCGTAAAGTACGGAGACGCAACAGGCGGACGGTAGGGGCAGACCTGTACCAGCTTCACCAAGTATATCATGATGGTGATGCATTCCAGCGGTGACTCTCACTCGGCAAGGTTTATGACGTGTGCGGGGACACGCCGCTGAATGTATTACCTCGCTCCTAACCCTTTTCATGCCACTCACTAACTTTCCTATAGACTCTATAAGTTTCTTAATCAATATTACGGTTTCGTTGCTATCCACTCCAGGTATTCTAATCATCAATTCTATACATTCTTTTAGCAGACCACCTTTAAAACATTCTCCGAACAACCTAAACTGATCCGTGAACTCTCTCAGCTTCTCCACAGACCGACACTGCATCAGCAAGCAGTAGAAAAAGGCGGTAATAGAATAAGCAATTCCAAATATAAATTTTAATAGATTATCTTCTTCTATGTAAGTTTTGTCAACATCTTTGGCACGTCTTTCGGCTTTAGTATTATATTTGGCACAGGATTTACACACGACATCTTCAAGAATACGTAACAGCATAGGGAGTATCCCTATATGAATTAATTTTGCACACAGATCCGAATGAACCAGAACCTGGTCCAAGGAAACAATAAGGAGCTCTGTTAAAGCGACTTTGATACTTGACAATTCGAGAGGATCGTATGCGTTAGATTGCGCTGACAAAGAACCGAATTGTAACGAGCAGAGGTTTTTCAACGAAAAATTGATACACTGCATTGATATTTGCGAACCTTCCGACCCAGTCAAGCTGCTCTCGGCCTTACACAATTCTTGTAGCAAATCTATTATGATTAGGGTGAATTCGAATGTGCTGATTTCGGAATTAATGATTTCCTTATGTTTGTCTCTCATATAATCGTCGGCTTTCGGTTTTGCTTTGCGGTGTGAGTAATATGAATCGGAATGATGTGTTTCATTTGCAAAATCACTGGAAGAGCGTACAGAATAATGGAAGTCGTCTTGCGGAGCGCAGACCTTTATTGTCAACGATCGGTTAAGCGCTTGTAGATCATCGTTCGTATCCGCTGAATCAGACGACAGTTCAGAACCCTTCGCGGACTTTTTCGAGTTGGCTATCGATCTAGAATCGGAATCTAATCTCATCAGACCGCTGCACCTTGACCTGTAAATAAATCTCATTATCAATTGCGCAGCACGATAAATCACTAACGCTATTATAAAAGGCTAAATTTACCTCGCCGATATCGAGCCTTTCGCCGATGCCGCAGATGAAGGTTGTCCCGGGCTTGGCTTCTGCTTCGACCATATTCTGTAAAGAAATAAGCGTTGTTAATCTAAAGAGAAATTGTATCATGCGCAATATAATGTCAAGGCATGCAGCAAAACAGGTAGAACAAGTTCCGAATCTACGATGCGGATTAGATATTTTTATCTCAAATTAGAACATTCGTATACAATTGTATATCGTTAACTAACCATTTATAACCTAATATATATGTTAAAAATTACGTCTTCCTCTACTTCACCTTAATAAGAGTAGTAGAGTATTAAAGCGGATAGTTCAACCAAAGAATGTGTTGCTTACCTATTAGAAAAAAGTTGATGTATAGCGATTCGGGATTCCCGTTTAACATCTTGGTTATTCCTGGGTACACGACCAGCAGCACTTAGCTCACCGAACAGCCAGATTAATACGGAGCTCAGTTGACGACAACACGACAAGCCCTGGTAATAAATAAATAGTGGTGTGTTATAATTAAATTAAAGTTTTTAACATGTACTTTGAATACTATCTGTTAGTTTACGCGAGTAGTACCTACCCATTTCAATAAAACACTTCAACGGTTTAAAACGAGATATATTTTACTTAAACTTGTCTTTCCCTGACCATGGCTGCTGCAAAGCATCCAAAACGTCGCGTCATATGAAAATTTTCATAAAAAAAAAAAAAAAAATTTTTTAAGTAGAAGAGGACAACAGCAGCATGGGGTTCACTTGATGGAATGTTAAATACCTTAGCCATATAACATATCACAAAACGCGCTGTGACCCATTTTCGCTTTGGATATTATAGGAAATGCATAAAATAAATATTTTCTAATTGTAATTTTTGAAGGAGGGTTTTAATTTCGTCGCTTTGGCATTTAATAAAAAAAAAGGTTAGTTTTAAAGGTTTCGTCGGCTATACTTAGGAACTGAAATTCAATCACAAATTTGTACTAGCAATTTTATTTCTCGCCGCTAGAACAGCACATACTACAAACGACTAAACAAATACAAAGAGGGTCCACTTCCATAAGAACGCCAATAATTTTTATTTTACGGGCAGCCACGAAAGTTTACACCAATATCAATTACTATCGTAAACCTTATTTTACAACGTAACTTCATTATTACTACGAAACTGGAAAGGTAATTAGAGTGCGTTTACCTCCTAATAAACTTAAAGATATTACCACCGTAATCGACCATCATTATATGCATTGTATTGCAAAAAGTACTGGTAAGTAAGCTTTTATGGCCATACAGCTATAAATTCTGAAATTATATTTATGATATAGGAGGCCGGACTGGCATAGAGTTTTCTTGATGTATGCTTAATTACCCAGAGCTATCTATAACTTGTAATTAAACCGCAAAATGCTATTTTGACTTGGAGTAATTAAGATCCACACATTATAACCGGAACGTGGATATACACTTTGTGGTAAAGCCAAGAAACAATCTTGGACGATGAAAGACACGGACGGAATATCTATATTTATGAGAATCAATTCATTTAAATAAAACACTTTAAATTCGTTTAAAACGCGATATATTAGTTAAACTTATTTGAAAATGATTTTTAACTTCGGCCCGACGTTTCGTCTCCCCGTGACCACGGCTGGCTGTAATAGAATAAACAAACGAAATTCGGGCTGAAGTTAAAAATATTATTTATACAAAAAATATTTAATTAAAATATAAAAAAAATAAAAAAATATTTAAATCATTTTACTGTAGTTGACGAGAGTAGTATACATTTAAATAAAACACGTTTATCGGCTTAAAAGGTGAAGCGAGGCGAGGTGAGGCAAGGCGAGGCGAAATATATTACTTAACTTATTTTTTTACAATTTAACTACGGCCTGACGTTTCGGATGCCTTGCAGTAGCCGTGCACGGAGGGGACTATATATATAATAAACAAATGAATAATTTTTCGCGTTTTAAACCGTTAAAAATGGTTTTTATTTATTTATTTCCAGGTTTTTCGAGACAATGGATATTAGACGTTAGTTGATATTGAAAAAAAATATACCTTGTTAGACCTACAAAAATGTAACCCGTTGGTGATTAGCCATACAAAACTCCCATTGAATGAACGAACCTGTCAAATCCTATCGATTACATCCGCTTTCATGCAGCTAAATCCAAATTTAAAATTAACAAACAACAGTTTTAAACAGGTTCTGGCTAAATATAGCCACTTCTGGGTCAATCGTTAGCGGGACTTGGGTATTTCGGAATCGATTCCAAAAAAAGGGAACAAAACAAATGCCGAACCATTAAGAATAATGGTTTAGCATTTGTTTCAAATACATAATATTTATTCTGTAATTTTTGTTAAATGTATCTTTTATTATCTGTGCCTCCGAGAACACTTACAGAATAGGGATAGGGAAGGGATGAAACCTCCTTTTATCAGAAATGATTATTAACTTCAATGTTCTAAAGTTCAAACACATATAAATTGTAATAAAATTTAAAACAATATTTTTTTAAGGAAAAATTGAATAAAAAAATATTTTAATGATTATTGAGTAAATATTGTCTATTTAAAATTAAATTAATATATTGGTTGCGGCTGCGCATATCGAACTGAAGGGCTCTAGAATAGTTATCAAGAAATCGTTTATAAATTTTTATTATTAATTATTAATATTATGGGTAACGCATTAGACTCGTGGTCTAAGTTCTAAACTCTTTGAGAGGAAACATAAGCCCAGCAGTGGAAAATATGGTTAAAATATGGCCTAAGACCTTTTTTTTAAAGATAGAGGCGGTCAGACAAGCACGAAGTGCACTTGATGGTAGGTAAAATACACCAGCCTATAAGCGTCTACACAAGATGCGCTGTCGTCCTATTTTGGCTTTGGATACATTTAAAACATTTCTACATCGCTAAGATTCTCGCGCATAGATGCGTATGTTGACGTAGGTTATCAGGGTCGTTGCACATAAATGTTTTACAATTTATATCTTGTTACTGAGATAATATTGGATCCAAAAAAAAAAAAGAGAAAAAAAGAAAGAGGAAAAAAGGGGAGGGGGGGGGAAGGGGGGGGGGGGGGGGGGGGGGGGGGGGGGGGGGGGGGGGGGGGGGGGGGGGGGGGGGGGGGGGGGGGGGGGGGGGGGGGGGGGGGGGGGGGGGGGGGGGGGGGGGGGGGGGGGGGGGGGGGGGGGGGGGGGGGGGGGGGGGGGGGGGGGGGGGGGGGGGGGGGGGGGGGGGGGGGGGGGGGGGGGGGGGGGGGGGGGGGGGGGGGGGGGGGGGGGGGGGGGGGGGGGGGGGGGGGGGGGGGGGGGGGGGGGGGGGGGGGGGGGGGGGGGGGGGGGGGGGGGGGGGGGGGGGGGGGGGGGGGGGGGGGGGGGGGGGGGGGGGGGGGGGGGGGGGGGGGGGGGGGGGGGGGGGGGGGGGGGGGGGGGGGGGGGGGGGGGGGGGGGGGAAAAAAAACGCGCGGGGGGGGGGGGGGGGGGGGGGGGGGGGGGGGGGGGGGGGGGGGGGGGGGGGGAGGGGAAAAAAAAAAAAAACCCCCAAAGGAAAAAAAGCCCCCACCCAAAGGGGGGGGGGGGGGGGGGGGGGGGGGGGGGGGGGGGGGGGGCCCCGGGGGCGGGAACAAAAGGAAAAAAACAACAAAAAAAAAAAAAAAAAGGGGGGGGGGGGAAAAAAAAAAAAACCCCCCCCCCCACGGGGGGGACCCCCCCCCGAAAAGGGGGCCCCACCCCCACCCCCGAGAAAAAACCCCCCAAACCCCCCCGAGGGGGGGGGGGGAAAAAAAAGGGGGGGGGGGGGGGGGGAAAAAAAAAAAAAAAAAAAAAAAAAAAAGGGGGGGGGGGGGGAAAAAAAAAAAACACCCGGGGGGCCAAAAAAAAAAAAAGGGGGCGCAAAAAAAAAAAACCCCCCCAACAAAAAAAACCCCCGGGGAAAAAAAAAAGGGGAACGCCGCGGGGCCGAAAAAAAAAAACCCCCAGAAGGGGGGGGGGGGGGGGGGGGGGAAATTTTTTTTAGGGGGGGGGGGAAACCCCCCCCCATTATCCCCCCCCCACCCCCGCCGCCGGGAAAGCAACCGAAACGGGGGGCGGGAGAAAAAAAAAATTTTCAAAAAAGTTAAAAAAAAAAACCCGTTTTTAAACCGTTAAAGGTTTTTTTTAAAATATTGGATCCATTAACTAGATTGTGCATTGTAAAATAAATGACATAAATGACAGATATAGGTGAGTGCGACTGTTGCCGTAAGTTACTTTTCGGCGCACGCGCACAACGTAAATTAGGGTCTAACAATAAACGCGGCACATTTACTACTCTTGCTTTTCTAAACTAGTCTATATAGTTTGACGGACTCGTTGGTTTAATGGTAGCAAAGCTCGGGTCGCGGGTTCTGTACCTGACGGGTCCAATATGTTTTTAAGCAATTTATAATTTTTATGAACTGAAAATCTGGATTGGTCAATGGTGGTTGGAATATCGACCTGTCCGGGTCACGAACACAGATGATAACGACGAAGTTTAATCGATTTCAGGGTTAAGTCTGTGGATTTCCGAATATCCACGCCACTAGTTTAGATGTAGTATATATCTGGGGTATTTCACCTTCATCAAGTTAATCTCAGGCTTATGTCGTCCTCTATCATAAGAAAGGAAAATAAATCTGTCGACTTTTATTTCCTTTTTATAACGACTGTGATCTCTAGATTAAAATTTCAATGTACACCATCTTAGTGTAAGGGTAGTCCTACACCATACGGTGTAGGACTAACGATCAATATCTTGTCTGTGAATAAAATTGACAAGTGAAACGTACCCAGAAATGTATAAGGAATTTTCTTAGAAATATGATTTTCAAATGGTCTACCAGTTAAGCAAATATACCTCTACTCCTAAAGCTTTAAGCAGAAGCAGACAGCGCCAAGCAAGTCCTCCCAGCAAGTACTGACGTAAAATTTCAGCGGACGTAAGAGTGTTGGTGCGGGTGAACAGACTTGCCGATTTCAGCGCCACTTCCTTGTTTGACTCGTCTGAAATGTCATTAGTTATGTAATTTCGGAGTAACGTTGTAGAGATTAATAATAGATTAATTAAATCTTTATATTGTATGTTTTTATTTGGTTAATCTTTAAACAAATATAATACTTTGTCATATTATAATCCGGCCGTATAATTCCATGTTAAGATATATCAAACACGCATCTAAATTTATGTCATTAAGAGAAGAGTTTGTTAGTTGTTTTTTTTCGGATTGAAATGATTTTTGACTATTTATGGCCCGAGGAATCTATACTAATATATAAAGTTGAAAAGTTTGTTCCTGTTTGAACCAGCGCGTCATCAGTTCTGGAACTACGGTTTCGAATTGAAAAATTATTGTTGTGTTGGGTTAGAGAATTTATCGAGGTGGGCCTGTGACTAATACAAGGGAAGATACAGCGGTAAATGTAAAAGACATGGGGAAATTATTAATCGTTATGGGTTACCGAGCTGACTGTCGAAACGGTACAAGATACCCAAAATATATGTATGTAATAATGATTCCTTTTTAAATGATATAAAAAAACATATAATTTCCGCGACGCTATATGTTATTTTCAAGATTTAACTTGCAAGAACGACGAAACGCGAACGACGCCGTGGGTAACTGCTATAAGTTTAAAAAGACGTGAAGGAGATATGGCATTAATAAATTGTTATGCTCAAAATCACATAATATTCTACCCGGATGAAATCGCTGACACAGCTAGTGGTCTACAAAGATTGGTTTATTTGATGTGTAACGCTCTTTCACACATAAGACATGTAAATACGATTTGTACTGTCTGAATTTGTCAAAGCTTGTCAAAAAGTATCAGTATTGAACTATTCATTCAAGAATTGTCTCTCATTGTTTTTGCTACGGGTATACATAGATTTAAGGGCTTTTGGCCTTTGAACTAATAGCTTAATTTGTGTCTGCACCTGGACCCACGATGCCCTCACAAAAGTTTGGGTGTAAGATTAAAAAGCTGGGCTAACTTTCACTAGGTACAGAGTCATTGCTTACCAGTACTGGTGGTGTCTGCTACATCATTGGTGTAAGGTTGTTCAGACGATAGCGCGACATCTAGTGATGTTGTTAGAGGAACTGAGTAGTGGGTGTTGATAGAAGACGTCACACGGTGGATACCACAGAGTAGCTCGCACCCCACCAGAGAAACTACACCACTTACTGGACTGGAAAAATTATGTTATTAGGACAATGTACATCAATTCTTCAACATATTTAAATAATTCGATGTCACTGGCGGGAGTCGAATCCCAGACCTTGTGTGTTCTTTAGCTAATGTGCCGTATTTGAGCACTTGTTATTTAAATTTTTGGACTAAATATTAATGTAATCTAAATTTTACTTTTCACTCATGTTGAACCCTTACCTGTACATTATTAAAAAAAAACACAATCGGTGTTTTGAAAAAAGTTCTAGATTTAGCTTAGGGTAAGAGATTGGCACTATAGTGAAGTATTATATATATATATTATAAATTAGTCTCGGCGTCAAAGTAGACAATATACCGACAGCGCATTTGAGACTGGGGCATTTTCAGTAGCATCATTTCGAATATCTAAAGCTAATATAGCCCGACAGCACATCTTGCTTAGATGTTATATGGCTTGAGTAGGTTACCATCAAGTGAATCCTATGTAACTACGAAGTGTATCCTGTGTTTTTTCTGCTCTATAAATAATATTGAAGCATACTACACTTACAATCACGACGAAAGGACAGACAAAAATATTATTTAATATTTTTTTGACGAATCTAAATAATTTTTATAATTTTACAGAGAATAAAGTATATTTTATTTTTATTTTTTATCATAATGTTATAATAACGAGTATTACAGCTATCATACCAAAACTTGATTAGATCCTTTGGATTGCATCCTTCATTGAGACGAACGATAAACTCGGCTAAAAATAGGTCGAGCCATGTCGATTTCTAAAAAAAGAAACATTAATAAATTAAAGATTTCTTTCATTTAAAGGTAAAGTATAGATAAGTTATTATATAAAATTAGAATAAAAAAATATAACATATACAGTAAATTCCAATAAAATAAATTTATATTAATGTAATAACCGCCTTTAACGGATCTGCAATTAAAAATTAAGAGATGCAATTAAAATGAATTAGGGTGAAAATGACCCACAAACCAACCGAATGTATTGTCTACGATTTTCTTAGTACAATGTGCAAATGAGTATATTTGGGATATATGACATAAATATAGCTCAGTTAATATTTAACTTTAACGTAATATCATGTCTCATTTGTAATTTATGAAACAACGATAAAGGAAAGATACCTCATAAGTTCCGGTCTCTGCTTTGAAGAAATGATCCCAGTATACTTTGAGGGCGCTGGCTCCCTCCTCGCAAGCCATTTCCTGCTATCGCCAACCTTTGAATAATTAAGTCGTTTTCAGGTGTCCATTCATTAAAAATACATGCCGAAGAATTTCGTCTTACAACAGCGATAACTTAAAATAAAGGTCACATCCAGTTATCGCGTTTACGTTCCCAAACCGAAGCAAAATATATGTATTTTTTTTAATATTTCGAGTTTTAAATTGTAGCGTTGTAAATTAATTATAATGTTAAGTAACGAAAGCTTAAGGTGAGATCTCACCCTTTTACCCTTACAGGGCATTTCTGGGTTTGTTTTACTGTTCGGTTTTGTTTTACAGTAAAATCTAATAATTCCCCCGGGTTTCGAACGCTCTCGCGTTTAAAGCAATGCCAGTCAATACTCTTAACCATTTAGCAACAGAGGCAGTAGGTACTAGTAATAACTTAAGTGTTAAATATTTTTAAGTTATTAATAAGTAAAATTCAATAAATAAGTTAAAATCGTATGTAAAACAAAAACTGCTTAGAAAGGGTTATTATGACGTTAATCAATATTTAAATGATAAAAATGCTTGGGGTTCGGAGAAAGCCGCTCTAACAAGATAAAATATGTAGTCTACTAAAAGTACATGAATAATGTAAAATGAAACTTGGCGATAAAAGGAGTGATGGCGAGTTTGATTGCCTGTTCTTCTCGTTCGTTTTACGCCCTTGATTTGAGTAATGGTAGTAAATTTAAAGTTGATTCTTTAATTGGACGTTCATAAGTGTACCTAGTGAATAAATGTTTTTTGACTTTGAATTTAATTAATGAAAAATTGGGTTATTGACACATTTTCCAATCCGTTGTATAAGTTATAAACCTATCCTTACCATATCACATATCAATTAAATAAAAATTCGAACAAATTCGGTAGTAATGTTTTTTGTACCTATTTTTTCTAGACTAAAATGTATTTTAATTTTTGATATATTTTCACGAAAACACGTAAGGGCATGTCTGTCAAATATTCTCTTTATTTAAATTGTAATAAAAAAAAACATACCAAATTTCTTTTAGGTAGGGACCAACAAAACTTAAAACACTAGGTGGGCCTGATACGTATCTTTGGTACTGTATATCAATATTGAACAGAGAAAGTTGTAGTTTAAGAATAAATATATTCATTTTGTTATTACTGTTAGTAATGCTTTGCGTTCGTCACATATTTCCCAACATGATGATTATGCGACGCGCGCGAGGAGACTGACTCTTAGACAGTCTTATCTACAACTGTGTCTATAAAACTTGTAAAATGCTGCAACTCTCATTACAAAACCAGGAGTATTGTAATAACCTTATGTCTTCTTAAAATTCATTAACCATAAGAGAATTGCAAAATAACACATAATTTTGATCTCAATTACAATTACAATAGCAACAAAACTTTTACAGACATACATAAAATAATTACAATTGATATAAGTCATATCAAATGTGTATAAGAGGGCAGAGTGTACATGTCTGTGTGTACTTGTACATGTTATCTACTGACCGCAAGATATCATATCCACTTTCATTGTGAATTGTGGTTGATTGAAAATTTATCTGTTTACTCTAGAGTCAGTATTTTCGTTAAATATAACAGTAATTAAGCAAAGAATTTACTGGATGGAGGAAATATGGTACTACTTATAGTAATATATACATATTTGTCTTTATTCAGTTTATTAGGCATGAAAAACTTGTTTTGTACATTCATGAAAAAATAAATGAATATAATGAGAACCTTAAATACTCCAAGATTATAAAAAAGAGGCCCTGGCATTTTAGTGAAACAGACACAGAAGTCTGATCATCAATAAAGTAGATTAAAGAAACAAACATAAATGTATGCTCCATTTATCCACATATTTATATGAAATGAGATTTGATACAATATAAACAAAAAATAAGTTCCAAAAGAAATTTCCATATACAGATAATTCACATATTTCCAAGAAAAAGTACTCTTTAGGAAAACTTATTAGTGCTAGAGTTAATAATACATCTTATCATAGACAGCACAACAACAGACACTATATTAGTTTCAAATATAAATAATGAACTGAACTCTTCAGCTCCAAAACTTCTAGCTGTCTTGATTTAACTTTACTGTGTGGTCCAATAAAAAAGGAAATAATCAATTAAGCCAATTTTAATATACCTACTAATTCTGCAGGAACTGTTGTATTTTTATATATGAAATAAAATTTATTTGACTCTAGCTATCTAACTTACATAAAACTTCAGTAATATCGATATATTGTCGGCGAGAAAATCCGTATTGCATCAAAGGTAATGTCGATGTATTGCAGACTGAAAAATAGAAAGTGCGACATGAAAATTATTTGTTTACAATATTAACTTAACTTAAGACCTTTAGAACTTACCTATATTACCTGAAAACTAGACTTAGCGAGTCTTAGCACCTAAGTATCGCGAGAAAATTTTGATCTTAAATTTAAATTTGGTGCAAAGTCAGCTTCAAAAATAAATAAATTTATTGCAACTTTATAATATATGTTCCCAGTTTACACTTTTTGAGTTTTTAATTGAATTTGACACTGATTTGTATTTAGCGATCTCATTGACATATGTCAACTTGACAGAACAGATTGGCATTAGTTATATGACAGTGTCAAATTCAAGTCATATGTCATACAAATGTCATAATTTAATATAAGACATAAGTTGAAACATCTATTATACTTTCTATTAAGTTATAAATATTTTACAAAGACGGCACAATACTATTACACTCGCAGCACTATTTAAAGCAATCACTCAAGTGATTTATTTACTTTCAAAGTTTAATTTTTATGTTATACATAATACATAGCACAATTAATATTACTACAAATATTTTTGTGTACTATATGTAACCTCGAGTGATTTTTGGCTTCTTTTGATTGTTAGGCAAATAATAGACAATCATATTTACATATCGTGATTACTAGTAAATAAATAGTTATTTAGTGCTAAATGAGAATTAACATCTAATTAAACCTACGGATTCCAAGTGCTTTAAATATAATAGAAATAGTGCCATCACAAAAATGTGGGAGAATATGATTGAATATTTAAAGGACCCATGGTTGGTGGTTAAAGTTCAAAACTTCTTTGGCGTTGTATATAAAAGAATCCAACATACTGATGAAACTAGTGTTGTGCATTCTGATAGACTTGAACAGTATGAAGAATTGGATATCAAGCAACATAAAAGAATACCTAGTGACATTTCGGGCAGTTCCCAGACATCTTGTGACACCGAGACGTCTGTGGAGAGTAATTCTGATGAACTCGAGCTTATGATAGGAAATAGATTCTGGTATTACTTATTTGTATTGGGTACAGCACTTGGAGATGAAATATTTTATGCAACATTTATACCATTCTGGTTTTGGAATGTTGATGGGGCAGTTGGGAGAAGAGTGGTCCTTGTATGGACTGTAGTTATGTATATTGGTATGTATATTTATTTTCTTATAAGTAATAAAAAACATCTGCTTTTGATGGTTACCGCTAAGGGTGAAACCACATTATTCTGAATTCAAACTCAAATAAGACCTCAATAAGCTCTGATTGCTTAGGTGGCAGATCTGACAAAGTAACTTATGTGTTAATTAAAATTAATCAGGTTTGATAGAAGAAATATTTTCAGATACTTCGGACACATATACATGTGTCTGATTCATGCTTTTTATAGGGAAAATGGTTTTCTTCGATAATTTTCCCTTTTAGTAATTGAAAATTAATAGTCATACACTATTGTACTTGTATAAGTCTTAAGTGAATCTTTTCATTATTAGTATTTATTTGTAGATTATTATTATATCAATGAACCTTGAAACATAAATATATAATAGGTTTTACAATTATTGTGGAATTTTATCTAAATCAGAAATGTGATAAGCACTAAGCCATTATGACATCATGGGTTGTGAGATGTAGTAAAATGTTTGTTTCCTCATGTTAAAAATCAGATTTTCCTGTAGTAACACTGTATGGTGTATAAAATCAATTCAAACGGTAAAACTGATAATAATAAATGTACTGAGTGCGTGCGCACTGGCTCTTTGTAAGTTTTAACATAGACCAAGAAGAGCTAGCAAAACCAAAATAAACCGTAAGAAGATAGATTTGACTTGGTGATTAGTATTAAGTTGTATGGAAGTACTGTTAACGGTTTCAAACGCAAAATGTATTAGTTTACCACTCAAACCTGCAACAAAGAAAATAGCTTTCGTTGTTTGAAAACTTTCATATTTTTCACATGATTTGTATATGAATCAGCGTTCTGTGCTGTTGCTCTAACCGTAACGGATTGTGCCTAATTGCGGGAGAGTTGCATGTATCTATAGCTTGAAAAAATTCGACGATGACGTGTAGGACTCGGTAGCTTGGTTATAGCAAGTAGCAACAGGACGAAACGCTGACGATGGCGGCTCAAGTCCCGCCCGAATCGTAATGTTTTCCGACGAATCTAAATTCTAAGGGAAAGATTCAAACAAGCTAGCACACAAGAAATAATAATTTTTAGTTACCAACACCTAATAGTTTTTTTTTACGTATAACCCTGTTTCAATGTCCATCATTTACTTTAAGGTTATGTTACAATGTATTTTAATTGAATTCCAGGCCAAGGTTTCAAAGACATAATTCGATGGCCGAGGCCTGGCTATCCAGTGAAGAAATTACAAGAAAAATGGGCGATAGAATATGGAATGCCTTCAACTCATGCGATGGTGGGAGTCTCTATTCCCTTCTCCGTGCTGCTGTACACAATTGACAGATATCAGTACCCCGTTTATTGGGGTGTTATTATTGCTGTCTCATGGTGCAGTTTAATTTGTGTCAGCCGAGTCTATCTGGGCATGCACAGTGTTTTGGTAAGGCCTGGTGGACTTTTAGTAGACATAACTTTTTTTTAGTAACACATACATAGTATAGTACTCCATAGTAACAAGTTAAAATATGGCTATTTTGACATTGTAATTGTTGTAATATTTTTATCTTCTGAATTGTGATAATAACTTGCTCTTTAAATATAGAAATAAACTTTGAAACCACGATAATCATATGAAACTTGATGATTATCTTATAGACATGATAGAGAAATATTTAAAATATGTGCGACGAAAAGTAGAATCGATATATAAAATAATTAATAATTTTATAGTAATACAAGTAGTTTTATATATATCTCTTGGTCAGCGACTTCGTCCGCGAGAATCGCTATTTTGGGTAGCCGAATTCGTTTTGGCAATCCCCTTCATATTTACAAACTTAAGTTGTTTCCCACGTCGATCGCGTACCTTCCCGTCGTTCTTGCAAGTTAATCTTAAAAGATATTTTTAGCATCTAAGGAATCTTTTTTTCATACATAATGTTGGGAATCTTGAACGGTTTTTATAGCGTATGCTTCGGAAACCCATATCTTCGCTCATGTAATTCGTCACATCGATAATCGATAAATGCTCTAACCAATACAAAATATTTTAGAAATCATTTTTCAATTCGAACTCGTAGTTTTTGAGCTTGCGCGTTAAAAACAAACTCTTAGCGCGTTCAAAAACACTCTTCAGCTTTATATATTAGTATAGATGTATCAAATGTTTATACTAGATAATTGGTGTTGGGTTTTTTTGGGGGGGAAAAAAAAAATTTGAAAAAAAAAAAAATTTTCCCTGTCCGTTTCAAACCCCTTTCGTCACAATGCCTAAAAAATTATTTTGTTCTTGAATTTCTGTAGAAAATATTTGTGTGGTAAATTAAAAATGGTGTTTGTGGGTCAGAAATTTTTGGTATAATATGGTGGTATTGTTGTTTCAGGATATAGCAGCTGGGTTACTGCTGTCTATATTACTTATGGTAGTGTTAATACCGATAGTAGATCGTCTCGATTGGGTTCTACTAACAGAGCATTATTCACCATTACTGATACTCGCAGTGTCTATTCTGGTTATTGTCTACCATCCGCAGTCTGATAAGTGGACACCTACTCGGTAAATATGTTTTTAAAACCTCTTCTAAAATAAAGAAATAAAAAGATATCTTAATTTAAAATAACTTATAAAATACTGTCTGTAGTTTACGCGAGTAGTACACATTTAAATAAAACACTTTAACGGTTTAAAACGCAGACTAATAAGTTAAAGTGAATTATATATTTATATATTAGTTATACGTCTTTTAAACCGTTAAACTTATTTGAACGCTATTTTCAACTTCGGTCCGACGTTTCGGATGATTTGCAGCAGCCATGTTCATGGGGAGACTAAAAGCGTTTTAATCCGTTAAAGTATTTTTTGAAATAAGTTATTAATTTGACGTATTTCGAGGGACAGAAGTTAACTTCGTTACACCTAGCATACCTGAGCATGTAGCCAGTTGAGTTCTACGCAGTAGCAAGTAGAAGATAAATTTGAATGTCATTAATTCTAATTTTTATTATATTATTATTTAAAAATAAGAGCCTTTCAAGTCAAGTCAAAGTATATAAGATGAAATTTTTTTCTAAATAATGCTTTTAACAGGGTTTCCTTTATATTAAATTGTAGTTATTTATTTTCGATTTGCCTCATTGTCTAAAGAGCCTATATTAAATTCTTCTTTCCGTACTTTCTTTTCAGAGGTGACACGACTATGATCGTGAGTGTGTGCGCGGGCATTCTCCTCGGCTCATGGATCAACTTTCAGCTCGGCAACATGACCCCACCGGAAGGTGACCTGGCTCCGCCGTACCGTATCATATGGCCCTCTATAGAGATGTTCGGATGCCTCCTTCTAAGAACAACACTCGGTTTTTGCGGAGTGCTAGCCACTAGAGCGTTTGCGAAATCATTCTCGTACGCCGTTATATGCGCCCTGCTCGGTAAAGATAAAAACGAACTACGCAATTCTGAGAATAGCCTCGATAATAAAAATAAAATATTCGTCGAATGTTGTTATAAGTACTTTACGTATGGTCTTATCGGGCTCAACACGACATACGTGTTTCCGAACGTGTTCGATCTTTTGCAAATAAATAGACCGACATACTATACTGAGATTTGATAGTGTTGATTCGTCCGTTCAATAGTTCGTATAGAAAATAAATTGTATAAGGCTTTCGCGGCCATTTCGAAAAGCTTCTCGGAGTTTCGAGTAGTACAGCTATTCAGGGCCACCGCCACACACCTCCACCCCACCACATCTCCTGATCAAAGTGTAAGCGCCCTGGCCCCAGAATGGTTTCCAAATAAATTAAGTTTTATAATAAATAATTTATTGTAAAAAAAATAGTTTTCGTTAGATACACACATAGAACAAAGATATTATTATAAAATTAAAACCGAGAAATCTGAAATCAAAGATTAGGGGCGCCAGGACCTCCACACTCTAATTTTCCTCCCTTAAATCGTGATGGTTGAGAACAAAATCTCAATTACGACAGCCGAAAAGCTCCAAAGCACACGCTTTTATACGTTGAATATTTGTATATATTGTATGAAAAAAAAATGATATAGTATGACAATGTGATATTATGAGAATTGAATGAAAGTATATTTGGATAATAAACATTATTATTATATGAAATGCATGTATAACTGGATTGAGAAAATCGATGTTTAAGCTATACACGGTAAAACAACTGAATCCGATCGGTAATTTTTGTTCGGTCCGTGCTATAAATTTTTCAATGTCATTTTAGAAGGTAAGTAGTATCATTTTAGTAAAATAGTCCGGTTTGACGTAGTTAATAATTTTCAAATAAGTTTAACCAAATACTGCGTATAAAAAATACACAAACAGAACATTTTCGTCCAATACGCTGTCTGTAGTTTACGCGAGCAGTACGCATTTAAATAAAACAGTCTAACGGTTTAAAAAAAAAAAAAAAAAGAAAAGGGGAGTTTTTGGGGGGGGGGGGGGTCCCCCGCCCCCCCGGCTGCTGCAAAGCATCCGAAACGTCGGGCCGTAGTTGAAAATCATTTTCAATTAAGTTTAACTAACAAGTTAAAGTTTTTATTTAAATATTGTCTATTGAAAATAATATAATTTCTTATTTCATGATATAATAGTTTACAACTCTGATCCGTCCACAGATCTTGTCTATGAAGTTATTCGCGTTTCGGTTGCAGTCTGTGGATTTCCGAATATCGAAATAGCTCGACAACGCGTCTTGTTTAGATTTATAGGCTCAAGTATTCACCTGCCACAATCTTCCTCTATAAAAAAATGAACAGAGAAAATAATAGGTCTTCTACGCAAAGTACTGTTCGTGTCTTACTCATGTCTTTCCTTAACGATTATGAACAAAAAACCGCCTATATAGCCCAAATGAATGCTTGCGTCCTGTGTTTAAATCCCGGGAAAACAATAATTTGTTAATACCGAGCAGGGTGTATGAAATAATTACCTATAAAGAAATACTCCAGTGAAAGGTCCGAGAAAGAAATGTGTCCTCCCCATGCCCTACACGGGGACTTCGCTTTTAGTGAACAAATATAGTGCAATGTGCTCAGAAAACCCACCGCTAAATTTCCATGCCACTTGTCATTTGCCATATTATGCTGTTTATAGAAAACTGAACAAATCCTTGACTTTACCAAATGGAAAAGCAGATCCCACGGATCTGCTTTTTAAATGCTTTTAATCACGGACAATTGATATACGTTTTCCCGTATAACTATATATGTACGGCTTAGAAGTCTGGTCCTATACGATCCTTAGGGTCCACTTGTTTGGATAAAAAAAATCAAATGCTGGACCCCGGCAATGACCATGTAGAGTTCGAAAATAAATAAGTCGACATCACATCTTAATTAAATGTTATATATTCTATTAAATGAACCCCAGTTTATTACCTCGTGCCTTATTTTACGCTGTACATTTTTTTTAACTTATTGTAAGTGTATTTGTCTTCAATATTGTTTAGGCATAGACATGTCTGAAACCTCTTGTGATAAGGAATGCGCTTTGAGTCATACTGGGATAATAATGTTGTTTTCCCATTAGTTCATTAATCCAATCACTCGTTTAGTAACAAAGACTATATTACGAAAATGTATATACTTACACAATGTTGTCAAAATATATTTTTATTATCATCGCGCATTATTATTTATTAACAGTCTTAAAAATGCGTCTTATCTTATTAAAAATGTATTTGGATTAACTATGTTTTACTAGCTGTGTCAGCGCTTCGTTTCTCTTTGTTTAAGCTATTACCCACGAAGTCGAAAGTGTCCCGTCGTCCTTCCAAGTTAATCTTAAAAGATAGACAAGTAGTCTCGCGGACATTTCTTTACATCACTTGAAGAGGATTCTTTCGTACATTTTTTGGGTATCTTAAACCATTTTCGCAGCGTATGCATCGGTGGTAACCCAGAGGTGAATAATTTTCTCCGTTTTTTTCCAAATTTCCCATCGTTTTTTCGCTTCTATTAGTCACAGGCCTATAACAACCTTCCTCGATAAATTCTCTAAACAAAAGAAAAAGATAATTTTTCAATTCGGTTGATGCGTAAAATAACAGCTAGTTGATTATAGCTGAAAAAAACTTAACTCACTTTTTAGGGAACTTAGTTAAGGAAACAAAAAAATATACATTTAACATATATTTTAATAATGTTAATTACATTACAATATATATAAACTAATAAATATATGTTATTATTAAGATACAATAAATTGAAATAACCGGGTTTAGTCAGCGATGCGCTTAATCGGAATGCTAAAAAATCGTTTAATGCAAACAAATCAAAATAAATGGTATTATCTTTATGGATTTTAACTGTTACTGAAGTTTTTGTCCAGAACGGTCTCTAGTCATCAATAATAAAACTCCTATCGCTGCTTGTTCCCAAGTGTGCGGTGAGCTTTATCTGGCCAAATGCATCATCCTTGGGTTTCCAAGGATTACAATAATCACAGGTAAACCCAATCTAGTACAGTATTTTCCTGTACTATTGACACTTGAAGGTACAAAATACAGCTGTAGCGAAATCCAACATTTACCGACTTTAGTACAAGAATTAAAAGAGTAAAGTATGCACGATATATTTAATAACAGTCCTTACATAATACAGGAAGACTTATATATTAAGACCACAATAGGCCATGTCATCGGTTATTAGTATTTTGGGTATCCTTAAATTAGGTCACACACGTTTTATGCTCTTAAACTCCCTTAATATTGACAATTGGTCTCATTCATATGTCGAACCCCCCCCCCTAGTGACGTCACAAATGTTTCAACATTTAGACTTTGTGACGTCACAAAAGCCACGTCTATAACACTTAATGTGACGTAATATACGGATAGCCTTATACAGTTTTGGGTTCCGCTACATATTTCAATAAATAAGTTTTTATTACTACACGCATCTCCAGTGTCATATAATGATAACGGTTTTGGTTGAACGAGTATACTTATCATTATGGCATTGAACCGAATCTGAGGCACATCTATTTTGAACTGAACAGTTTCACGAATAAATATGAAATGTTTATATAAGAGGCTGCTAGAGCCAGAGTGGCCTAATAAAAATTAATTTGCACTATTATTTGTGTAAGAATTATGTTAACAATTTTTGATCACTGCTCTTGTAGATTAACATTTTTAGAGTTTTATACAAATAAGTCATAAAAATTGCAGTTAGGCTACTCTAGCTCAAGCGGCCTCGTATAACAAAACATTGTTTTTAATTGAATGTTAACAACTTAGTTGTTGAAACCTCAATCAGTCGTCAAGTAGGAATCAAATATATTAGACATTTTATTTCCCCCCTTTTTAAGTGTAATTCATAAACATGTAATAGTTAATCTTTAGAGTTTTATAAGGCATATAAACGACACACGTTTCAAATACATTTCTAGTTTAAGACTAGATGTAACAAAATCCCCAATTATAGACGAATACCAACAACTAAATGTAACATATTTCTTATAGAGGCCCTAGTGGCCTGTGGGGGGAGGGCATTTGTATTATTACAATAGTTTTAAAGCTACAGTTTATGAATTTCACGCAACACGTTATTAGTCTGTTGGTGGTATTACGCGCATGTTGTTGTACAGGCGGCCATCATTGTTCTCATCTCCTCGAACCTCTCCATGTCACTTTCGTGCTGAAAATTAAATGATTCCATTAATAAGTGAACTGGGATCAAAATATTCTGGACAAAGGTTTTATATTACGACCTTTTCTAGCAATGTTATTGCACAAGAAATAATATAATTTGCTAAAGTTTCAGACCTTTTGCTAATGTAAGAGACTTTTGTATAGTTGTATTTAAAAGTAACTAACAGTAAGACTCTGATGAGTTCGTTGGTGTAATTTTAGCAATGTATAGCTAATAATCAACTGGACGTAAGTACAATTCGATTCGAAGACCTCTACATTTATGAGGTCTAACATTTTTCTAATTAATTCAAAAGCCTATCGGTAAAAAATCGAAATCCCGCCCGGTCACGAACCACCGTCTACACATGTAAAGGCCGGGAAATTTTATAGCGTCTCTGCCTCTACACTTCGTAACATCCAAAATAGGTCAATAGCACATCTTGCGCATTAACGTGTAGCTGAGATATTTCACCTACTCAACCCAATTTAACTATATTAATAATAATAACTAACCCATATTTGTCTATCCTCTATCATACAAAAAAGCATATATCGATGTGACTATATCAGTATAATTATATAGCTATAAGGCTAACAACAATTTTATAGAATCGACAATTTTCCTCTTACCTCTGACTCAGAATCGTCTTCGTCATCGTCCGAGTAGTCATCACCGAACAGATGTAGAACCCGAGACCGACTGGCAAATCGCCTCGCCGTCCGTCCCGCGTAATCCCGCGTGCCGCGGTCTGCATTGCCGTCTCTCAACAAGTACATCACTAAGGGTTCATCATTTCGCTGGGCCGCGATGTGCAGGGGTGTGCGACCAGCTAAGCCCTCCTGGTAACAAAAGGAATAATATTAGTATTTTGTAATCAACGTCAACTGTGAATCTTTAAACAATTATAAGAAACAGACGTCTCTAGTTAATATTTAACGTTTAGCCCAATGACCCAATGAAACTGAATGCAATTCAATTCAATCACACTGACCCAATTAAGGCCTATTTACACAACGTTTAACAGAGCACAAACAAGCATACTCTGCTTGATGGCAGGGGAAATTATAACATTTGTTTTGCCACCGGGACAATTTTTCCAATCAATTATTAATTTCTCTGAACCATGTTGAATTTCGTCTGGAAATCTGGATATCAAATGGATGGTAGGAATGTCGAAACTCCGTCCGGGTCACGAACCACCGACCACAGATGAAAACCTAACATCGAGTGAACATAATACTTGTCTTTCCTCTATATAAAAGAGGCTATCCAACGATCAATATCTTAGTTATATATGTAGTTTTTAAGATGGTTACTGTAAAAACCCCCTTATCATTTATCAGTGATAGCGAGTGGGTTTCCCAAGACTACAGTCCATGCGATTGTGTTGTATCGAGATATAAATTGTACGCCTCAGTCTCTCCTTTTCTCAATCAAGCTCTACTAAGGCTTGAAAATGGAAATTTATTAAGAACTCGTATTTTCCTTGTGATACACGAAAAGAGGAAAACTTGAAAAACACATGTCGAAAGTATAGTACTAATTTGGACATCCTTGGCTTATTTTGGCTTTGAACAAATCCATAGACTGTGAATTACAATCCACTGCTTTTGCACTGTGTGGACAGTGGTTCGTGACTTGGCTGACACAAACAGATGTTCCAAAGATCGAGATATATCGGAATATTAAATAATATTCAATCAGAGATTGAAGACCATTCATCCATCATTAACCAATAAAGACATAATTCTTATAAAATATATTTGATAACTCGCTTAATCAAATATCGTCCGATCTGTTTTGTTGATATCTGTCACTATTAATTAGGTACAAAATGCATGACCGACAGTGGCTGAGATAGTGGCAATATATGACCTATACGATAGATAAGATACAAATATCATATATGGGGACAATGAAATAATTATTGTTTTTTTCCTTTTAATTTTATCGTTAACTAACTTACGTGTTCAACTCTTTCTAAGCATAACAAAGATTCTAAATACTCGCGTAAACTACACACTGTTAACCATTTAATTTGGTTAAGTAATTATTAATTAAAATAAAACACTTGAAACAGTATAAAACACGAAATTTATTAGTTAACATTTCTTTTAATTACGGCCGAACGTGACCACGACTTCTGCAAAGCAACTGAGACGTCGGGCCGTAGTTAAATTTAATTAAAAATAAGGTTATTAATAATCGCTGTTAACCGTTAAGTATTTTATTTAAATGTGTACTACTCGCGTAAACTACTGACAATTCTTAAAAATTATTGTTTTCCTAATAATATTGTAGACTAGAATCAATTTTAATCGTTTCTATTTGTGTGGTAACTTTGTTTGCCGTATTATATATAGTTATAACAAACATATATTTTTTTTATCTAGAAACTCACCTTAGCGTTAATATTAGCTCCGTGCGCGACCAACATTCTTAATTCTTCTAAGTAACCTTTGGAAGCGGCCAAGTGCACACACGTCTGACCTGAAATTAAGTAAAAACATAGAGTTAGTGATATAAAATAGAAAAAAAATACAGTTTATTTTTTTCGTGGGCTTGGAGGAGAAATATTTTTGCTACTAAAAAGGTACTGCTTAACCAGAACAATTTCATTCTTTCCACGTTCTTTCTTGCTGAAAACAATTATAATCAGGCGATTAACTTAACCACCAAAGCGGCTATGTTCGCTTCAGAGTAAAAATTCAGTTAAATTACATAAATACTATTTAGAAAGGAAGCATTATCCACCACGAACCGCTTTAAAGAATATCGATCCCACATAACAGCGATGAGGAAATTAAATCGTACATTAGGAAAAAAGACGACCTTTAACCTTTAAAATATCTTATGACAAGTTGAGGTTACACATACTAATGCGATGACATAATACCAGATTTATATGTAATTAATTAATAAGTTAGTGCCTCGGGTGAATTGTGACGTGATATAAAAATACGACAGGAGGGGGTAGACGGGAATAAACAGTTCAATCAGTGGAAGGTGAATTTTTGAATTTGGAATGTAAACTTTTGAAACACATAGATAGAGTTCCATATTTCAAAAAAATCGAAAGTCATCCTCTGGAATTGAGTTAGTAATTAACCTTACATTGCTACCATTAGACCAATGAGTCCGTCATAAAAGTAATCAATGAATGTGAACTATACTAGTTAATAAGAAAATACCAGACTTATTTAAATAAAACACTTAAACGGTTTAAAACGTGATATATTAGTTACCACGTCTCCCCGTGACCACGGCTGCTGCAAAGCACCCGAAACGTCGGTCCGAAGTTAAAATTCATTTTCAAAAAGTTTAACTAATATATCGCGTTTTAAACCGTTTAAGTGTTTTATTTAAATGTGTACCACTCGCGTAAACTATAGACAATACTTAATAACAGACTTGTCAACTAAATGAGAACTTTCCAAAATTATCTCGTTTAAAATTTTGAGTTGTTGGCCTAGATCCAGTGCTATTTAAAGCACACATACCTTGGTCTGTTCAGTAAAAATAGAATTTGCCGGTACGATTTTACATACATCTACTTAGCTGGTGCAACAGTGTAACGGGTAGTATTTTGTCAAAATCAATGTATATATATTTTTTTATTGGATAGCCTGTACATCAAATGGGTGGAGATTTCGAAATTCCGTCCAGGTCATTAAACCACCGTCCATATGGATTAGCAGGTGTAAATCCATAATTTGGTTTTAGTCCAGGTTCCTAATGCCCAAATCCAAAATGGGCACAGAGATCTGGTATATGGCTGTGGTATTCACATTTTTTTTCATTAAAACAAATATAAATTCCTTATTCTAGATATTCTAGCCAAGATTAGACGTAACTACGGAAAATATATAATAGGCAAATTATCACCAATTTCACCTTGAAAATACGTACGTCATCAGACCAGTTTAATTTGATTATGTGCATAGTATTAGAGATTATTAGCCATCGAAATTTGGTGTAAGTCTAAAATAAATACTTTGTTATAAAATTCTTTAATAGAACATTATATTTATTTTTACTAATATATAAAGCTGAAGAGTTTGTTTGTTTGAACGCGCTAATCTCAGAAACTACGGGTTTTAAAAAATCCTATACAGACTGTAAAACTAATACAAGCGAAGATACAGCGAGACATATGAAAAAATTATTCAAAACTTTGGGTTTCCGTACGCTGCTAAAACAGTTCTGGATACCCAAAATATGTTTTAAAGAATGAATGCTCTTTTAATAATTTCAAAAAAAAATCTGCGACGCTTTATGTCTATCTTTTAAGATTAACTTTGGATTCCCAAAATAACTATTCTACGCGGACGAAGTCGCTGGCACAGCTAGTGATTTTATAGAACGTTAAAATACTTTAAATTGTCGAAAGACACTATTAGGAAAATATACGACGATGTAGTACATAATATTTTTGTCATAAATTTACAGACGGCCTCCCGAAACGCGCCATCGTGTCTGTTTAACTAGATCAGTACTAGATTATTTCGGCACATTTTCCCTGTATCGCACTGAAGCATTGCGGTTATCCATTTCTATTCACGATAAAGGTCATCTCTGTACCCTATCAGGGCCCTTATCAGTTTTAGCTGTTAATGGCTGCGGAATGAGGGTATTGTTCGCAATATATATTAGCCTCGAATTTAGTATTTTGTTATTTGCTTTTAAAAATATACCTAAAACATTTATCGTACCTATATACTTTCAAATGTAGAATCGAATACAAGTTGCAAAGTAGGATGTTTTTATTAAAAACAATTGTTTTGATCGCAATAGAGAATTAGTCATTAATGCATATTATTGGCATTGAATGCATAACAAACGACAGATTAAGCCATCGTAAGTAGCTGCGTAGAATGGGCGCGAACGAGCGGTCAGGCGCTCCGCGGGGCGCGGGGGGAGGGGGCAACTCGGGTTTTCCGAATAATGTGGCAATCGACGCGCGCGCAGCTAGCTGCCCTCACCATATACGGTCGACGTTATTTTCACCGTTTCCGCATACGAGTCATGAAGGAGACGAGAATCCAGTTTATGTTCTAGTCAGTATGGAGTCTCTTATGATAACATAGAGAGACGATGATAATAAAGGTTTTTCATCAGAATTCTGTATATCTTTTACATATTTTCTCTTTTAGATAAACTTATAAGTGTCCCCGTGACTACGGCTGCTACAAGGCATCCTAAAGGTCGGGCCGGAGTTTAAATAATTTTAAATAAGTTCACCTAATATATATCGCGTTTTAATCAGTTAAAGCGTTTTATTTAAATTTATAAGTTCATAAAAAACTATTATACACAACAGAGTAATGTTTTAATCACGTGATCATCGGGTACAGGCATCATTAAATGATGATAAAATATACCTATTGTTTGACAGTGCTATGTGGGGTCAATTAGGTAGAAACCGGATTTCTGTTGTTTTTCCAAAAAACCCGGTGCGGTCATCGTAAACCTAACTCAAATACTATCGAAAATATATGAATATTGGATTATGTCTCTAGGTATATTACAGGTATATATACAACAAAAGAACAATAATAATCTTTATATCCTTCAAATATGTATCAATATATCAAAATACAAGCGATAATGATTTTCAAGCGGCGCTCTTTTTATCGTAATCATCAGCTATCTTCGGGATTGCCAAACGTTAGCAACACGAGTACTTTCACCTGGGAATAACCCAGTACCTACGTCAAGTCATCGTTTGTTCGATTATCTTTTATGTCGGTCGAGAAGTCCCGCCTGCGGTTTTCCTTCCCTAGAACCCCTCATTTCCGATACCTTTTGCGCTAATCGACTCATTATTATATTGGATAGGTGGTTATTAAAAATCCATGGACACAAATCCCGCTTATCTTGTGGGGCACGGGGCGAACATAGATCTGTGCCCGGTTCACTAATCGATTCACAGGCAAGTATTAAGTCAGACTCCTGTGCCCTGCCCGACCAAAACTATCTATTGATTCCTCGGGAGTCGAACCAAGGACTTTTTGCGCTTAACGAAATGTTAGGCAACACGTTTTACCATTTAGCTAGAGACGGACAATTAAAAACCCATATCTTTTAATAATTAGTAAATAATAATGTCCTTCACTATTGTTTGTGACAGAAAGACCGAAGCTTATCTTCTATCAAACGAACCCTATGTACACTTGATAGGTTAAATACCCCAGCTATTTAACATCTATACTTGATGTGCTGTCGACCCATTTCGGCTTTGAACTTTCAGAAGTAACAGACGGCTTACGGTTTTTCCAGCCGCGGACGGTGGTTGACCCGGATGGAATTTGGACATTCCTAACACTCATTTAAAACTTTTCCATACGAAGATTTTCACGACGAAATCATTTAGACATACAATGGTACCATCAACGACAGATGTAACACTTAGTAATTATACACGTTACTATTACGCAACACAACCAGTTTGAGAGACATTTGTGCATACAGGGAAGCATAACTCAGTGTACTCCTAATGTATGTCTTGCATATTATTTACCGAGCACTAGCTGCGCGAGCGCAAGGTGACACACATAATTGAGTATACACGTGTCAATGATCGCTTATTTATCATTGAAATCATATGAGGTGGGAAAACCGCAGAATGTAACGAACTACGTAACGTAGTATTTATCGTGGGATATCCCAAGGAAGGCCGCGAGCGGAGAATGGCGATGGTGTTGGTCGCTTACAGTTTAGGCTCTCTTCAGACTACGATATATTATAGCATAAAGTTCATAGTATAGTAATGTCACTGGCTTGTCTAACATTGGGTTTAGCATAAGGTTGTAATAATAACGATAGAAGCAGAATTAATAACCTAGGTACTATCAATTTAATAATGTATGGTGAGCGATATTTTTGAGCTATATGCTACATTTAAATAAAACAATTTTACGGTTTAAACCGAGATATATATTAGTTAAACTTATTTGAAAATTATTTTTTAACTACGGCCCGACGTTTCAGATGCTTTGCAGCAGCTGTGGTCACGGGGAGACTAAAGATGGAGGATGTATCTGACGTCAAAGTAAAATTCTACGGTTTAACGAATATGCTAGTGTTTTATTTAAATGTGTACTACTCGCGTTAACTAAAGACAGCATCTACATTGCTTTAATATATTTTTATCTGACAAGAGCTTCGGTGCCAACGCTTTCACCGCCAGCCGGTTCACAGTCACATCGTTACGACCACATTGGGAATACCCATTATGCTACGGCCCGCGGTCGCTCACACATCGCTGTAATGCATTTATTTACTTTTCGTATCAGCGGATCTGTTATCTTTTGGAAATTCCGCAATTCGGTTATTTTCGTATCTCTACCGTAAACAGAAGTAACAATTATTTGTTATGTAACTTTTCTGACTTTATTAATTGGAGATTTACCTCAGAGAACAAGTTTCCTAACACCAATTTTTACATATAAAATGGTTTATAGCAAAGTAACATTTCGTTCTATACGGGATTCGAAGCCTCGGTACCTCCTGGTCTGTAGAGTGCATAAGCACTAGATAAACTTGATGGTTTATTTAAACACTTAATAAATAATGTTGAAACGAGGCCGTGCTGGGTAAAACCTTATGTAAATCACTGAAAGTTACAAAGCGAGGACGAGACATTGTATAACATCGGGAAAACCTAATATATTTCGAAAGCAAACGTTTTAATGTCACCTCAGAAAATGTCATTGTTGTCTTCTAACAATAGTATATTAATCAGGTGATGGTAAAAATGATTTAATAATTTTTAGATTTGTACTCATTTCCAAGGAGCTGTCTACTATAGCCTCATATATAGCACAGAAAATTGTTATTGTAATTTATATAGATAGATACTGTCTGTAGTTTACTCGAGTAGTACACATTTAAATAAAACACTAACGGTTTATAACGCGATACACATTAGTTAAACTTATTTGAAATAAAATTTTAAGCACGGCCCGACGTTTCAGATCCTTTACAACAGCTGTCAACCTCCTGTTACCACGACTGCTTACGTGTTTTATTTAAAGGATATAATATGTCGCATCAAACTATGTGGAACATAGAATATCAATTTTAATGGTCTATTAAAATAATTGAATTGGACGCAATTGATGGATCGAAACATCGAGTTTCAAAGCGGCTACAATATTCTTCAGCAAGTAAGGAAAGCGAATAATGAATTAATCTCGAGTTTTCCACGCTCTCACAAATCACCAGCTGTATTTCCCGCGCGTGACTCGCCAAGGACTCCGATTCCATTGAACGTAGCAGAGACCTTGACGGGCATCTTCACGTAAGCCATGTCTACGTGAACCAAACAGGTTTTCTACTTATACAGTACATCCTAGTGAAACTGACTTTTTCTACAATGACGCGCGCGTATGTCCTGGCAATTTCTTAACAATGGTCTCTATCGAAGGCAAACTAGTTGGGAGTCCGGCTACAGATATCTGTTATAACAACAAATGTCATTATCATGGTCATTTCTCCATTAACTATGAATCGTCATCAACACAAGGCATTGTATTTTATAATCATAGTTACATACTACAGATTATGTACACTTATACTATTATGTTTACTTCTCATACAAAAATATTTGTGTTAGTTAATATTAAATCCTATAAAAACACCAACAACAGGTTTTTTCCATGAATCAAATGACCTTTAAAATGAGTAATTAATTAGTGTTAGGTATTCCCTGAATGTAGCATGTTGTATGATTAGCCGTTCAGTAATTTAGGAAAAGCCACTTTTCCCAATAATATAATAAATAATGTATCAATACATACCTTTGTAGTTCTTTTGATTTAAAACTGACGAGTATGTCCTGGGTTGGTCTTTCACCGGGGCGAGCAAATATTTCAAGCTTCTTATATACTTCCTCTGTACCGCTATATGTAGTGGTGTCTCTCCGTTGAAATCTCTTGTTGCTATCGAAGCACCAGCTTCAACAAGCATTTTTGTGATGAAGGGGTGACCCGCTAGTACTGCCAGGTGCAACGCTGTATGTCCATAGCTGTTGCATATATTTATTAACTCTCTGTCTGGGCAAACCTTTATTAAGGTAGCCACTGATTTCTCACAGCCATGCACAGCAGCTATATGGAGTTGCCTGTAATACAATATTATGTCTTTACAATTTTACACAAATGATAAAAGGGAAATTCTTATTTTCCACAGCATCTGAGGCTAGATGGAAACCCAAAATAATTTATGTCAATATAAACTGGTATGTTCATATATAAAACTATGTACTTTACTTTTGTAATTATTAAGAGATGATATATTAAGGGGTTATTAAAATGTTTAAAACATATATATTTTAATAACAAAGATTATGACAAATAGATTTCACATTATAGAGCATTGATATGATAGCTAAATGTCTGGTCTTTACCTTCTTTCTTTGCTCTAAAAACAAGAAATTATACTTATATATTCCCATTATATTATAGATTATAACAAAACATAGTTCAAATTCTACTTACGTGTCTCCATCTTCATCTTGTTCAAACAATATTTTAATTGGTGGGAGGTCAAACTTCTGGGATTGTATGGCAGTACTGGTAGATGAATGATCATCAATCACAATGAGGGGTTGTTCAGGTACTGGTATTGAACAGGGAGTGGATTCTTCGTGAAAATCTATTTCACCGGATAGACACTCTCCGGAAATAAGTCCACTGTCCAACTCTATGTTTTCGGTCAATACATCTTTGGAATCACCTTTTTGCGTCTCCTCGGGCTCTTCCTCTGGATAAAATTCCTCCGAAAGGTTCTGATCGCTGAGAGGACCAGACAAAAAACCGGAATCAGTATTTTCGTCTTCGAAAATCTTAGTATCGACTCCTTTCTTGGCACTCATGGTTACAAAACACTTAAGTCACTAGTTAAAACAAACACATTTGCACACTTCCACCCTTAAACACTTAGCAGTACACCTTGCAACACATGTTTGGTTTCAATTCCTCAGAAGGTACGGGACAACCGCTTTCGGGCACAGTTGTGAACGTTATGCGTGATAAACAAAGATCAAAGTTGTATTGTAGCCGTTTATAAAAATTACTTGTGACGACTGACGAGAATGGAAAGATAAAATAAACTACGTCACCGTTTCAACCACAGTCCTCAGTCGGTGGCGAAATGTTTAACGTAAACCACAGATGCATAATAGACATTCGAGAATAAAATTTGCTATACATTTCTTAAGCATAATAAAAGCGATAAGAGGATATTTGTCTTAAGCAATGAAATTTATTTGTCTCCCGTTACAGGCTGCAATGAAAGTCGGGCCCGGAAAAAAAAAATTTTTAAAAAAATTTTAAAAAAATATACCGCTTTTAAAACCGTTAAAGTGTTTTATTTAAATGAAATCTAAACAAATATATCAAATTAGAAATTTTACGATAGCAAAATCATAAATTTTTGATATTATTTAAGTATAATGTTAGTAATATTAGCGGTGTTAGAACAATAAATTTTAGTCTGTGTTTAGTACGTTGATTTTGGATTCTCTGAGTTTTAGTAATAATTGACAATTAACAACTGACGGTGATTAAAATTTTGTAAATAATGAGCTACGATTGTGTTTAAAAGTTGTTTTTTATAAGCCTGTATGAACTATTTTAGTTTATTAGTTAGAAGTTGATAAAAATATCATATTGTTTGTTCAAAGATTTAAGTTCTAATATGTTTGGCGAGAAAGTAATAGAGCTGCTGAAGGAATCGGAGAGAAATCGTGAAACATTAGACCAATATAATGTACTTGTCATAAAACTGTTATGTTATTGTTTATTATTCTTCTAATACTTCTTTTTCATAATCATTATTCTATTCAGGATGAAAAAATTCGTCAAATAATAGAAGAAATGCACGTTTTATTCAAATTAAACATGAATGATGCGTAAGTATAGTTTTGAGATAATTCTTATAAAGTATGTCAATAACGAATGTTATAATGAACTAGAACTTCCAATTTTACCCAATCTAAATCAAATTTACTAGTCGCGTACTCAAGTAAATTTATATGTTTCAGAAATGCAACAACAGAGAACAAATCTCTGTGGACTACAGTACAGGTGCGCCATTCAGCTTTAGAGCGAAACAAGCGGTGTCTTCTAGCTTATTTATATAATCGCATGAATAAAATTAAAATATTAAGATGGGAGTTTGGATCTGTGTTACCTCCAGATATTAGAGAACTCTTATCAGATGCAGAATATGATTGGTTTTCAAAGTATTCAACAAATTTAGCTACTTATATGCGGTCACTGGGGCAAGATATAGGCTATAATGGTATTGATCTAACAGAAAACTTGAGGCCTCCAAAATCATTGAATATAGAGGTTTTATGCCTTGTAGATTATGGAAAACTAGAATTAGAAGATGGGGATGTTATAATGTTAAAAAAGAATAGTACACATTTTCTACCAACATCAGAGTGTCAAACACTTATTCGACAGGGTATTCTGAAGCAAATCACATAACCTTATTTATTTTAACTGTAAAAATTAAACTTTTAATTATGGCTTATACAAACTTTTTTCATTTGATTTCAAAGTGAATCCTGTTTGGAAAACCCTATAGTACACAACAAATGTTTTATTTTTTGAATATACACATTATTATACAGTCAAGTAGTAGATCAGTTTTCTGTGTTCTGTCTGGCCTAAACTATTATAATTTATATTATTAATAATCTAGTATATGAGCATATTTCTTAAATTTAACATTGACCCATGAAGGAGAGAAAGCAATATTCATACAATAATTACAGATGTTATTTTAATTTCAATGCATAAAATATATTTAAAGCGAGTGTAATATTTTCTGTTATGTTAAATTAGGTCTTCTTAGTAACAAAGTTAAAAACATTGATGCATCATAACGGAATTTTTAATTAAATGATGAATCAACAAATTTATATGATGCAGTCAAAGGAAAAACAATTCATGGAAATACCAAAAAATGTTGTTACCTAAAGCTTTATGCACTTAGTTCTTTACGATTTGGTTTAAAGATTAAGTAAGATAATATAATTATTTTAAAACTTGCAATATTCTTTAAAAAGTTCAAAAGTCGATACACATGAATTAATCATACTTGGACTTTTTAAAAAAAAGACCTTTTCCTTCCCGTGAAAGTAAATCAGACCGTTTTCCTTTATGGAAAATACGACGAACAGATTCCGCGTCCACTTTAATCATTCATTTTATTAACAGGTAAGTAGTTAGTTACATTTTGTCCAGAACGTCCACGGCAAACCGTTTAGAACACAGGACCTCTTGTGCTTCACAGACTACCTAATAGGCTACGCGTTTAACCATTGCGCTACGGAAAAGATAAAATAAGAATTTCTTTGCCATGAAATTTTGTGAGATAAATTACTTTTACTTAAAATTGGGTTTGAATTCTTGCTTTAACTACTATTAACCAATCCATTCACTTGTTCATTAGCTGGAAAGAAACGGAGTTACGAAAAAAAAACTTTGTATTCAAAGTAACATACGTAGATTTTTAGTAACTTTGTAATAATCATAATTAAGACTATAGTGGCTATAGATTTGTAAGTTTAAGTTCACATACAGTAACCTAATATACCTAAAGATCTAACATCAGCCAATCAATGGAGGTGAATTTTAATTACATTAAACTAAAATAGGCGAACAGCGGATCTTCTATGACTTGTATGTCGCATGTTATACAGCAGGGGTATTCTTACTTTCCATCACGTTAACTCCATGCTTGTCTGTCCTTCTTTGTCTTAAAAAAGGATGTTTTAAGCAAAGCTCACTTGAAAACCCGCAGTCCAATTAAAGCTCATAATATTATGCACTCTAATAAACAATAGAAGACCGAAGAAATGGTTTTTTCTGATAATCCTCCTTCGTGGTAGTGACTAGTGTCACTTTGGTATTCATAACAATTAACTTACGCTTTTGTGCACTAAAGTTTCGTAATCGTTAACATTATTGTGTCAGAATTACAAAGCGTGTTGCCGCGCAGTTGAGCGAACAATATTATCACGGTTTTCCCGGGACAGGAAAACCCCGATGCAAACATGCTCGTAAGATTTTCATAGCACAATAAAATTACATAAGCAAAGCGATTCTGGAAAGTATGATTTATACTACTTTGAACTCTGGTATTTTCTGTTGAAACGCGTATGGAATGAATTAAAGATTGGTAAAACTGTGGTAGGGCACAGTGCTTATACTCTGTTCATTAATAGCTGAAATTCAATGGTTATTTCAACACAGGTCCACTTTGCTACTTATATGGATGGGTGGTTTAAGTGACTTAGCACGCTGATCCATCGCGAGTTGTCGACGGTTTAACGACTATTACCTCTAAATAAGTGATCATAACTGGGAACGAGAGCTTAGCGTGCTTGCTGATTAAACTATGGAGGATAGGCTTATACGTAAATAAACGTTTTTTTTTATGATCGAGGAGGACCTACAAGTACCTCGATGGTAGATGAAATATCCCAGCGAGTAGAATATATAAACAAGATGGGCTGTCGACGTATTTAGCTTTGGATTCCTGGAAATCCACAGAATTAAATCGAACGCGATGAACTTGACGGCTTTTTTATCTGTGGACGTTGGTTCGTGACCCGAAACGGAATTTAGATATTCATACCATCCATTTAATGTCCAAATTTCCAGACGAAATCCAACACGTTTTATATAAATTTTAAATTTATTGAAAAATGTTGGAACTGGTGGCGATCAAACCCACCAACCCAACCCCTTTTATTATTAGCCATACATTGATACTAATGTACCAACAAGCCCGTTAAATTGAATAAGTATATTTAAATTTTTACTGTAATATAGGCTTACTTAAAGTTATCTGTGATATTGCTACTTTGTATAAATATAGTTTTTTATTAAAATATTAATAGGGTAACACAATTTATATTAAATTCTTAATAGGTAATAATTCTACCCAACTCCAATCCAACATTTGTAACACAAGTGAAATAAAAAAGGATAATTAAAAAATATGACTGTTGAATAATATTACTAATTATAATTCTTACGTATATCGGTTTTAGAAATACATTATATAATTGAGCCGCTAGAGGCCGACTAGCCTAACTGAAATATTATAACTCGAATTATTAATATTTAAATAGTTTAAAAATGTCAGTCTACAAGACCAGTGACCGAAAATTGTTAACATAATTCACAACAATACAATAACGCCAATTCATTTTCGCATAAGTTCTTTGCGCATTTTTAAGTCCCTCCTTATTGATAATCATGTTTTTTGTCTGCCTCATATATCCATTCATCCGCACAAACCGCATTTATGAAGTAGTACCTACCTCCAGTAACATGTAATATGTGAAAATGTCACTCAGGCAATGCCTTGGAAGTTAGAATCGAAGCAATTTAGGTGTCAGGAACTTTTCTAGTTAGATTTCAACAACTGCACAATTCTGTTTTGATTGGTCACAAGTACTACGAACTTACGAAGGTTATTAGTTCGTATATAGGGTTAGTTGTAATTGTAAATTTAAATGGTACCAATTTTAATCGCATTTAGTTTTACAATTTAGAGTTAAAAATTGTAGTACCGTGTTTTTTAAAGTTCTGTAAGCTATTTACATATTTTTATATCCAAAATATTGCTCCAAAGATGATCAACCTACTTTTAAGTATTGTGTACAGTTTACGCGAGTAGTACACATTTGAATGAAACACTTATAACGGTTTAAAACGCGAAATATATTAGTGAACTTATTTGCTACTTATGTTAACTATAGCCCAACGTTTCGGATGCGTCCAGCAGCTCGCCTGTGTCTGTTGGGCCGTAGTTAAATTAAAAGTCAACTTATATATTTCGCGTTTTAAATCATTAAAAGTGTTTTATTTAAACCTACGTTTTGATATTGTATTACTAAATTACTGTATTAAACAAGTATAGACATTAAATACCGTCTATAGTTTACGCGAGTATACCCATTGAAATATTTACACTTTAACGGTTTAAATATATCAGTTAAACTTGTTTGAAAATTATTTAAAGGACGGCACGATGTTTCGGATGCCTTCTAGCAGCCATGGTCACGGTAAGATTTTATAGGATAGATTGTGAAGACGTTCTAAGAAGCTAGTGAGATAACAAAGTGCGATGCCTCATAATTACAACAAATATCGTCCGAATCAATGTTTGCGGATTTCCCCAAAAACAGATTTCTATTATCATTTTCCTTGTGACATTCGTAAAAAGTATTGGCGCGTTTACTTTGGCGCACTTCCAGCGGGAATAACAGATTCTTGTTTGACGCAGCGTTTTCTGTGTTGCCAGCCTTTCTAAATAAATAGTGCGGGACGTTGGAATCGAATTGTGATTAGATGGGAAATGCTATTTTTAAATTAATGCTTATTCCTATTTTGCATCTATTTTTATTGCACTTCGACGATAGTACTACAATTTGTCACGTAAGCTGGATTGTTATATTCTTTATAATTACTAGCTGTGCCCGCGACTTCGTCCGCGTAGAATAGTGACTTGTTTGTTTATTAAATTATGTAAGGGCGCATTTAACGCAATCAATCTATGTTGTAATTGCTATCTTGCCGCAACACTCTCACCTCGCATCACGTCTGCTCTAACTCCCACTCTTATTCTTAAAGAGCTAAATAATTTTTTATTGTTTTAGCTCCATAAAACTATGAATTTCCATACAACTTTCCCTAAAACCCCCTTTTCGCAATAAAAAGCCTATGTCCTTTCTCAGGGTCTAGACCATCTGTATACCAAATTTTATTCAAATCCGTTCAGTAGTTTTGGCGTGAAAAAGTAACAGACAGACAGACGGATAATGATTAATTAAAAAAATTCTAAGTAATAGTTAACATTTGAAAACTTTAACACGACTCGGTAGCTCAATAGCACGGAACGCTGACGATGCCGGTTCAAGTCCTGCCCGAGTCGAAAAGTTTTTCAACTTATTTTACATTTTTAAATTAAATAGTTAAGATTTTTCTTAGCACCCAGTTGGTAAATACACCAGCTCTATAATAGACAGTTGGGACATGGGCTTTCAATCTTCCACGCTATCTAATGCGATTCATCTTAATTTCCATACTATCTTTCAAAGGAGAGCGTGGCAAACATATATCTAGTGGAAATCAAATCATCATTTATTAAGGAAGTGGTAAACTCATTAAAGTCAATATATAGTAAATGGAAGTCTGTCTATTTTAATATATTACTAGTTTTAAAAGCCTAATACCTTTTAAATAAAACACTTTAACGGTTTAAAACGTGGTGACTGGGGGAGCACGGCTGCTGCAAAGCATCCGAAACGTCGGGCCGAAGTTAAAAATCATTTTAAAAGAAGTTTAATCAATATATCGCGTTTTAAACCGTTAAAGTGTTTTATTTAAATGTGTACTACTCGCGTAAACAAATGGGTATTAAACTTCCTACCTCATAATGATAGGCTCATTGGTATGGCAAATAAAGG